AAAAAAAAAGAAAAAAAAAAAAAAAAAAAAGCATGATGTTTTCTTAAAATGAAGAATTACAAAAGAATTCAAGTAAAATAATTTGGGACACCAATGAGTTCTGCAGCCTTTATGTTGTATTTTATTTATATTTATTGTAATAGAAAGTTTTGAACTCAAGAATAAAACACAGTATGAGTAAAAAGATATCTATACCATATCGGAAATTATAAGTTTTAACAGGCAGTCTTAGGGGGAAAAGGCACTCTGATTCAAAGTTAAAGCTAGTGGCACTATGCAGATCAATATATGCATAAGCATTCTCGTTTTGTCTTATGTATTTCAGAATGTCATTAATAAGACTAGATAGGAGCAATCACACAAGTCTTTTAAAAAACACCTCATTGTATGCAGTGCGGACCACAAAGCGGAGACAAATATTTTTCTTAACCATTTGATTTTAAAATTAAGTGGTTAAAATATAATGTACTGTAGTTGCTTTCATACATTAATACTTTCATAATTTAAATAGAAAGCAATTATGATGCAAGTATTCATTCTGGTAACATATAGTGATCTGTGTAACTGCAGGTTCCTTTCTTCAATACTATAAATTTACAATTAAGCACGGCTGTCAAACTCATCTGGGCCCGCGGACTGAATGAATGGTGTGGGGCTGGTCCACAGGCTGAATTGGGTCCACAGACCCCCTCTCTCCTCCCTCAGCATACTGGTGCTCACTTCAGCCAGTCTCAGACCTGTGCTGCTTGTGGTGCAGATCCTGAAGCAGCTGAAACGCCTGGTACAGTCCAGCCGAGGGCACATAGTGTAGATCCCAGAAAGGCAGAAGCAAGTGTTAATGGTGCACATGGTATACTCATCCCAGTGGGACTGCACCACAGGAGGTGCCTGCTCTGGGAATGGTGTCACAGACAGTGTCCACTTCAGCCCATCTGGGACCCGCACTACATGGGGTGCTTGAAGGCACTGAGAGCAGTGCGGGTCCTTGACTGGCTGGAGCAGGTGGTGTGTGAGGTGCAGTGCCTGCTCTGGCTGGTCTGAACTCTACGCTACATGCTCCCAGCTGGACTGTGCTGTTCTCCTTTCTTCTACTTAGCATAACTGTCTGCACCTTAACACCCCCCCGTGGTCCATAAGAAGCAATTCTACTCCTGTAGACATGAGGGGCTCAAGTCAGCAAGGTCCCAATCACTTGGGTCCCACCAAGGTAAAGCACATAAACAAGCATCTGTGTTTTTAAAACCTGATGTATAATTTGAAGAGCACAAGCAAAAAAATCAACACTTCATTATTTCTAAGGACATGAAACTTTTGATATGCTACCCTGCTACTTTTATTACCTTCAGCCAAGGATGATTCAGTGCCTCATAAACTGTTATTCTTTCAGCTGGGTCCAACATTAGCATGCGGCGTACCAGGTCTTTGGCACTTTCAGAGATGTGGCTCCATTGCCTAGGATTCATCTGGTTATAAGTGAAGAAAAACAAAGTATCAAAGTACAGTTTTCTCTCAGTGAGCAGTAAAGGTGTAAGGTACTGGTACTCTTGTCAATATTATGTCTACAAACATACAAAGAAGTGTTATAACACATTTTTAAAAAACGTACACATAGGACGTTAAAAAATTGTATAGCTAGTATGACTGATATTAAGGTATAATTCTTCCATCTATGCTATATTTCCTGCAGGGAAAATTCACCCATCCCTGCACAAAGCAAAAGTAATCAGGGTTTGTCGGACAGCGAAATGCATGATGGGATGAAATTTATCCCTCAAACTATAGTCTGGCACAGAAGCTGCACAGTTTCATCACTCAGAGATGAAAGCACATTTGGTACATCAATCACTAAACCCACCTCTCTCCACAATTTATATTTTTATGCCATTTTTATAGATCTTATAGTCAGAATGGATGTGCTGTTAGTAAGCAACAACACAGCAAGGCAATGCATGGTATAATCACATTTCTTGAGTGGATTCAAACTTGTGCCTTTAATTATTCAAAGAAGGGACCACATCAAATATGATCATGATCAATTAAGCAGGTTTATACATGATTATTCCTTTAGGGTACTTTGATACAAATTTTAATTTAATTATAATTTTATGTTTTCTTTGTACAGTGCCATTTTAATTATTCTAGGCACCATATAAATCAAGTAAAAAATAAAATTAGTTAAAACTTGGCTAAATAGAACCTGGATCATTTAAAGAGAGTGAAAGTGATTGATTTTCATTTAAAAAAAACCAACAAGTTTTTAACTGTACTTCAGTTTAGCTGTAGGCATACTTATTTACCGTTGAAAGCTAGCACTAACAGTTCTCATTAGGCAGCTTTTTTACTTTCAGCTATGATGAAAATAAGGTAAGGGTAAGCCTGTATTTTGAAACCCTTGCTATTTTCACCGAGTGGACATGCTACTGTGGAAACAGGAACAGAAAAGGAACCCTGGAGTTAGCAGGGACAAGGTCTTGGCTACCAGTTACAACCTTTGATGGTTGTGAAAGAAAGAGAAAGTTCATTTTCAAGTTCTGAGAAATTTCTGGGAGTTTAAGAAAATTCCCAATTTGCATGCAGCAGTTGTTTCACTGTAACTGTTATATGTGTATAAGCCTGTAACCATGTAAATGTAGTAAAAGCACTACAACTTTAACTTTGCTTTATTTGGGGTCAAAGTTCGTACGATTTAGCTCTCACTTGTACCCCTGCAAGCTCATGCTACACACAAATTCTCTGTTTAAAAACCTTGAACGTGGAAGCAGGAATTTTTACAGGATATTTTACACCTTTAAAGAAACTGCACCATAATATCAGAGTCGACTTAATCCAAAGGCAATTTCAAGGTCTCAATATCACTATATCACATAGTAGTAACTATTATAATGCAGAGGCTCCTGGCAGAATGGACATACATATACTTGAAGTGGCGTCAAATAGGGAGGGGGAGCTGTTGCTCAGGAGTGTCCACTGGCTGTTCCATTACAAGTCTGCGCATGAGCTTCCAGAGGTACAAGTGAGACCTAAATCGCACCAACACTGACCACAGATAAAGCAAAGTTAAAGTTGTAGTGCTTTTGCTACACTTACATGGTTACAAACTCATACATATGGGGTCCACAGTTACAGTGGAACAGCTGCTGCATGCTCTTGAGCAGCAGCTCCCCCTCCCCTTCTGAAGCCACTTTAAGTATACATTTCAGAGGAGTAGCAAGCTTCTTGTACTCCTGGAGTAGGGGGGCTCTGGGTGAGAGGAACGGAAGGACTGCCTTTCTGGGCTACTGGTACTGCTGTAGCAGCATTGGCTCTGCTCTGGCAGCAGCAGCTCCATAGCTGGGCTCCTTGCAAGCTGCCCTTAAGTGCCCTGTTCTCCCCACCCCCTCCACCCCAGTTACATGTATATTAGGCACAGGGCTGTGCCTGCTCTGGGCAAAGGTTCCCAGGGGTGGGGAGTGTGGGGCCCCCATTCTGCTTGCTCCACTTGCACCCTGGATATGAGTACTTGGTGTTGCACTGCCCTGCCCTACTCCTACGGCAGGGCAGGGGTAGCAGCAGCAGCAGCATAGGGCCAAGACCCCAGGGGTGATTCTAGTGCTCTCTTGTAATTTTTTGGTGCCCAAGGGAGATGCCCCACTCACCTTGCCCCAGTTGCACTACTGATACATTTGCCCATGCCCTGGCATGTACTCTTCCTATGCCTAAAATATAGATGAATAAAGGATGCAACGGTAGCCTCTACCTGGCTTTTTGGCTTTTCTTCTTCTAGTTCTACTAGAGTATAGTAATATCAATATTTCACAAAGATATTGGACACTGACATTTTAGTGGAGGTGTGCTCAACCTCCAGTCCATGGGTCAAATGTGACCTGCAGAGCCACTGCATCTGGGTCAGGAAACTGGACAGCAGAAGAGCAGTGGCCATTAATGGCCACCCTCTCCTACAAAATTACCAAACCCCAAACCCCGTGCGCCTACTTGGAGCCAGGCCGCGTCCCCTTTCCCCCCATGGAGCCAAGACAGAGCCAAGCCATGCTGCCTTCACCCCTCCTACCCCCGCTAGGTCATGCATCTCCAACCCCCTCCTTATGGGCCTGGGTGAAGCACCCTTCCCTCCTCCACATGGCTGGATGGTGCCTGCTGTGCTGGCCCCGGGTGCTGGATCAGAACCACTATCTGTCACACTGGGAAAAAAGGTTGAGTACCACTGCATTAGTGGATCTTTGTTCTTTTCTACAAAGAATGCCTATGGCAACGTTCTGTGTAATACTCTTACCACTTGTTAATATACAGAGCGATTCTGGAATATACAAATGAGTAGAACTAGCTAAATGATAGCTTTGTGTCCCCATGACGCTGAAGAGTGCTGTGAAACATGTATTGTGCATGGACTGTAGTTTGTTTACAATTCCCTGTAGTTTCTTATTAAGCAGTTATCAGTGCTTTCACAGCTTATTATTTGGAATCATTAAAAAAACATGGCAGAAGGGGGGCCTCAATGTTATCTAGTCCAAACCCCTTCTCAAAGTAGGATTATTTGTCTATAAATCATCCTAGACAAAGGTCTGCCTAATTTGCATTTAAAAACTTCTACTGATAGAAATTTTACAGGTAGAATATTCTTTCTGACAGCTAATCCAGCATTTCCCAACCGGTGTGCTGTCATACACTTCCAGGTGTGCCACGGGATCTTGGGGGCGGGTGTGGCTACAGCCAGTGCCACCACCACCACCACGCCCTGGCCAAGCCTGCACCAATACCTGCCTCCACTCTTCGTTTGGCCACTTACTGCACCTCCCCCCCCCACCGGTGTGCTGTGGGATGGAAAAGGTTGGGAAATGCTAAGCTAACCTATACCTCTCTTGTTGCAATTTTAAATCCATCATTTCTTGCTCTGTACAGAGAAAACAACCGATAGCCATTCCTTTTAAAAAACATTTATGTATCTGAAGGATGTTACACAGTCTACCCTCCTCTGTCTTCTATTCTCCAGACTAAATAATCCCAGTTCTTCTAACTTTTTCTCATATATGTTGTTCTGTAGAATCTTTTATTCTCACTGTGATTGTTTTCAGGTGCAACCTTTATCTTCTATGAAGTACAGGGCCCAAGACTGGGGAGAAAGTTTTTCAGATAAAGTCTACCCACCGTGGCACAGAATGGAAGAACGTTTCCTACAACTTGCTTACAACACTCCTGTTAATACATTCCAGCACACCACATGGCTAAACAACATAATACTGTTTCAGAACATTCAGCTTGTGATCCAGTGTAACCCTGAGGTCCTTTTCTACAGTTCTGAAGTCGACAGTTGTTCCCTGGGGTTTTTTTTGTGCATCTGGTATAACAGACATTAAAAAGAAATGAGCGCAATACCATTTTTGCTAAAGTAACCAAATATTTTAATGTTTGGTATTAACATTAGCTATGACATTTATATTGAAAATTCAAACAAATGTAATAAGCTTTTCATATAGACATACTAGGTATTATGCAGAATTTTATCTCTATCAACCTATGTAGCTGTTAGAGAATACGTATTATGTACTGAGGTCTCAATCTTAAAAAGGACTTAAGAATACAAGTATTCTCACTGGAACCAGTGCAGAAATCCAGGGCTGTATGCTGATGCTAATTTAATTGCTTAAGCTGAATATAAATGTTAAGTACATATACAACATGGACAAATGGGTCAGTACTGCTGACATTATCTTTCTTTGAATGTACAGTGCTTGCTCAGGTAGAACTTTGCAATGGTATTCAGGTAGGCTAAACACAGAAAACAACTTGCACAAATTTTCATAGAAGTTTTATATAATTGAAAAAGTGATCACGTACACTGTCATTTACCTTGTATTTTCCTTTAATAATGCCTTCAAACAATCGTTCCTTGGTTCCATAAAAAGGCAAACAACCACTTAGTAGAATAAAAAGGATCACTCCACAACCCCACACATCTACAGGCTTCCCGTAAGGCTCTCTTTTAACCACTTCTGGAGCCATAAAATGAGGTGTTCCTACCCGTCCTAAATGGAAAGAGAAGCAAAACTGAGTCAAAGTGGTACATTTCAAACATGAAAATAAAGTTAATAGAAAAGGAATGAATGTACATTAAGTTAAAAAGTTGAATTTGTGATGAATCTTTCAATAAAACTGTTTTGAAACATTTTGTCCATCTTCTAAACATATTCAGTATTTGTGAAATGTGTCAGATTGAACTAATAACTAATTTTGTACCTTGATTTACCCATCTACAAATTGAGTAAAAAATTAATTTACCCCTAAAAGATGTTATAAAATGGCAGTTATTTAAAAGTTGTGAGATGCTTCATTAAACTTTGGAAATTAAAGATCTTTATTTAAATCACAAAACAGATTTGAGGAGAAACTGTACTACTCCCTCTTAAATATTTTACCCAAAGTTTCTCAAATGATTTAAAGAAACACCAAGTAAGAACTGCAAAGTCTCTCTGTCTCTTTTCTGTTCTGTTCTTTTTCTACATACCTCTAGGTATCAGGTGGCTCGTCAATGCTGTGATGGTGGGGTAGATGGAGCGTCCCACAGGAGCATGGGGGGGGAAGGGGGAGTCCCCCAGCACACTCAGCAGCAGACCTGGAAGTGGACCAGAAGCACTTTTGGTCTACTTCCAGGTCTGCTAGTAAGCATGCTGGGGGGCACCCCCGTGCTTGTCCGGCTCAGCAACTGGTGCTTCCTGGATCGGGGTGGGGGGGGTGCACCCAGGGTTTCCCCCATGGTCAACTGCTGAGCTGGTGAGGTACAGGGGGTGGGGGGCAGCGTGCTCCCCAGAGGACCCAGAAGTGGACCAGAAGTACTTCTGGTCCACTTCCGAGTTTGCTGCCAAGCAAGCGGGGAGTGCCCCCGTACTCCTTTGGGACACTCTGTCCACCCCAGCATTGCAGCTTTCATGAACCATGCCTGGCACCTTGAGGCATGTAGAAAAAACATCTAAAGCTATGTCTATGGCTGAATCGCTGATTCTCCAAATCAGTATCGAATCTTCATATTTGGATCCGGCTGAATCAAATCAGGGACAGTGATTTGAATCAATGAATCAAATCACTGTCCCTGATTTGGGCAGAATCTGAATTGAATATGGCCCATTCTGCACACCCCTACTAAACAGTGCCAAATGCAATACTCATTCCTGTGGTATGGAAACCTATTCAGAATCAATTGATCACCAACTTATTTCTCTTCTAGTTTAATCAACAGCCATCAGATACTAATGGTTCTGAGGCATTACTAACCTAGGCTGGTGATTAAAAGATACCCAGGAAAATAATTATTTCTATGATCAAGATCCAAGGACTTCAAGCCAATAAAGCATACTTTGCTTTATTAGTTTGCTAGGGATTGTTTACTGTATTTATGTGATGGTGGGGTAGATGGAGCATCCCACTAATTTATTTAGTTTGCTAGGGATTGTTTACTGAATTGCCAGGCCCAAAGACCTCTTAAGTTCAATTGTACCTAAGGGCTGTACAGATATAGATGCACACACTCTGACTTGCAGAAATGACAATCTACCGGGCTAAAAAATGCTACCATCGTTATTTAATAGAAATCTCCCTTGTAAAAAAAGATTTGTATTGTATGGTGCTGCCCTGGACACTTTAGCAAGAAGGAAAATACACTAGAATAATGATTTAATTAGGTCACAAATTTATTCAGGTCCCATTAACATAATTCTTTCTTTGTAGTTTGTATCACCTGAGCCCAGGACTGTTGTTGGGATCCCACTGCTCTCCCAAGGGGGAGGGGAGAAGAGGAGAGGAGGGTGGTGGAGAAAAAAGGATTTCCTCTTCCCTATACCAGCAACATTAGGAGCCCTAAACCCCATTCCCCACCTCCTTTGGGAGATCCCCATTACTGTCCAACCCATCAGCCACAGAGACCCCTCCTCATGCTCATAAGAGTCTGAATATCCACAAGGACAGGAGGGGCATATGCAATCCTTAAACAGGAAAAAGGTTGTCTTTTTCCTTATGACCAAGACAAAGCTTCCCTATCTTTGTTGCCAAGTGGTGGGGAAGGTACACGTGTTGCTGTTCAGACTTAACAAGTTGCTTAGGATCTTGTGATCTTTGAGTACCTAATGCTCTGTATACAGGCACCAATGCTAGTAGCTGTTCCTTCTGGACAACAGTCCAGCATTTCTCAACCTGTGGGTCACAACCCAAAAGTGGGTCACAAGAATATATGAAACGGTCAAGAACAAACATTAAAAATGATTGTCCTTTAAAGGAAAAAACTCTACGGGAAACCACAGGTTTTCTATTGCAGGATGGCAGAGTTCCAGCTTGTCAGCAGCAGCTTGGGGGCTCCTGTGCCCCGCCACACCCATCCCTTTCCCACACACTGGGGGGCTGCGGCCTGGGGGGGCAGTGGGTCAGGATGTTTTCTATTTAGCTGGCCTTTCATGTTTACAAATGGGTCCTG